AAGCGTACCTAGGCGAAGAATACCGGGCCGAATCGGCGAATTTGTAGAGGTTTGCGAAAATGCTCGTAAAAACCAAAGTAGGCGTGATATTTACAAAATTCAAAAAGCAGCATATTGCGAAAGGTATGGAGAATAAATCAATACCAATGAAGTTTCGATATTTGTTAAAAATCATAAGAATAACATAAGTATAAGACAATAAAAATCGTACAAAGTAATTTCTCTTTTTCAAAACGTAATTGCACATAGAAAAAATCAACATGTTCAGAAATTGGTACGTAAAAAATAAATCGAAATATTCTATTGGTTTGGATATGTTCGGTGGCAAATGTTTAGGGCCGGGTATTTCCGAAAATAACGGGCGCGGGTTATATTGGCTATCGTTTTCAACATTTACTTTCCTGAAATTCGTGAAAGATTCACTCTGGCATATACAGACCCTCGGCACGAAACAACATAAGATATACAAAAAGTTGATCTAATAAACATTTTTTCACTTGTGTTGCATCGAATATGAACCATTTTAACATTTTATGAAGTTATACTTAAACGCAGATCTTTTGTGATGAGTATAATAAGGCTCTAACAGAGGCACAACGATATATCGTCGTTCGGTGCTAAAAGGGTTAAACATATTGTTTAAGTTTATCTTAACGAGTGTTGCTTTAAAACGACGAAAAGATTGTATTTATTTATATTTCTATTACAATGTATGCTTGAATTGAAAAATGTATTCAATGATTTTCTATGAAATAGTTTTTATAATTTCAGCAATATTAAAAACATGTAGCTGACGATTTTGTCTTGTTCGGTAGATTTAGGCCTAAAATTATTGAAATCGCACAGTCTCCCATAGGAAAACATTGAATAAATTTCTCAATTCAAACCCGTGTTGTAATAAAAATGGCAATATGTCTAAATCAGTTCAGCCTTGGAATTTTTCTAAAGCAACACATGTCAGACATCTTTTGTGGCCGATAGGTTTAGTATTCAAATATTAGTATAATAATTCAAATTCAATAATATAAATATAATTATTATAATAATATTATAATTATAATTATTATAAAAATATTATATAATATTCAATATATAAGTACCATACCCTCTTGGGTATGGTACGCCTAAGATTTATTTATCCTTTAACCTGTATTTTGGATAGCATTGTGTTGGCTAAGTTTCCCGAATTAAGTTCGCAGGGGAAAAGTCTCGAATAATCTAGAAATGGGACCCACAGAATGCTCTAAAAGCTGGACAATCCATAGGAGTTATAGGCCGTAGATAACCGATGTTTTCGGAACGTCTTGTACGCTGTCCACCTCCCTTGTGAACTCGGCGCCTTAGTCGGTGAAAGTCAGTCGTGTGTTCTACGCGGCCAAGAACCCTCCGAGAGCATACGTCGACTACACGTCCACGTTTATGCACGTATCCTCGCGCATACAGGCGCACGTATATCCTGGCATTATGCGGAGACATGCATAGACTGCATTATTCTATAAGTATTATACACACTCGACGCATTATAAACCATCCGAGTCGACAGCCAGCGATGGACGGTTCGCTTTGACCCATGCGGAGAACGATCAGCCGGGCCTGGAAATATTCCGGGCGTATTTGAAGCGATAAATTTCGCCGTACGTGCCGAACCAACGACGAATCGTTGCTTCCGGCAGAGACTGTTACGGAAATACTTTTTCTTTTGCGACATTTCATTGTTTCGACTCGAACAAGGGCGTACCCAGCAACGGATCACTGTACGTTGTTCACACAATTTTCCGTTACGTACGAAACACCGTAATCCTGTGCTATACTAGATATTCCATGGACCTCTCTCTATCTCTCTTTCTTTTTTTCTGAAAAGCGGTATGATTTTTTCGCCAACACTGGGAAACGAGAAACTATCCGTTCGGATCTCTCTGGCTGAAGAACGGGCGACCAACTAATGTGCTAGTTCGCAGAACGATGATCGAGGCAAGTACACGGAGTGGTCCGTTTACCAAGCTGCCAACTCAGTCGGTCGTGTTCGCCGTGTGAGAGGGCAAAAGATGCGGCGTTGCCGAGCCAGCAACGCGTAAACGACCGGCGCGGACGCGGCAACGTCGGGAGAACCGAGAGACACGCTGCTGCCGCGAGACACGAAGGAGAAGGCAACGAAGTCGTTTCGATCTGAAACGCAATGCCGGCCGCTTGCCAGATACCGTACCACAGACCAGGGTCGACGGATGAAGAAATTTGGCGGTATCGGCTTTTTCTCCGAGCAGGTGTTCTTCGGGAGACCTCGGTCTGCCGAATCCCGAAACCCTTTTACGCCGGGAAAGCCGATCGGGGAAAAGTGTGATGCAATTCCGTGTCCACCGGCGATCACGCCATTGTCGATCGTCATTCCAAACCGCCGATGACGAGCGCGATTAACATTTTCTAGCAAAAAGCATAGAACAGTTCAAACGTTTGGACTTCAGATTGTGCCGAGTACTTGCAGCCGTTCAGAATTTGTTCTCTGAACGCTCTAATACGCAAAACGATGGATAAGTGTCGGCGGCACTGCCGCGGTGCTATGTTTACAGTTAAGAAGCAAGTGCCGGTGGCAGACGAAAATATTATCCCAGGTGCAGACATGGAATAGTTACAAATCTTTATTCTAGAAAGACTGGAGAACTTCTCAGCAAAGTGTAAAATAGGACAATTTGTTAAAATATTTAAGTATCATGTGGATAGTCTAACCAGAGTATCTAAATAAAAATGAAACAATTCGAAGGTGCGTTAGGGTATTCGAACACTTATAGCTTGGGCTCTAGAGCCGGCCATATAGCTAGAACCTATTCCTCGAGAATAATTTCTATTTAGCCGGCGAGATATCTATTTCAGAATGCTCGGATTCTACAATAAGACGGTGCGCATATCTTGTGCTCTTTAATTTGTAGGTACATTTCGACTGGGTCAATACTGACCGGCAGCAAATTTTCTCATGAAACTGTGATTCTGATCTTGACAATTCCAAGTCCGGAGACGAAAGCAACGAAATATGTACTCGCTCGGCAGCGAACGCGTTAAGACGCGTTTGATTGCAGAACCGAGGAATTCGATTGCCGCTATAAGGAAGCAACATCGACGCGCACACACGGGTCCGTCGAGTTCTCGCACACATAGGAGCTATGTAACTTGGATACATATTTGTGACAGCTCGTATATCATCGTAGCTTGCACCCACACACGAAAATACGTGTGACTGGAGGTTGTCGAAGAGTCGAAGGTTTTCGGATGGGTGACGTCGAGTGGAACACGAGGACGAGGCGCAGAACGGCTAGGTGGGGTGAGCATGGGGTGCAGGGGCGCGGTAGGGTATGGGGTGGGGAGAGAGAGATGGGGCAGAGAGTGAGGCTGGAGAAGGGGAGGTGGTCGACCACGCGCGATCAATATAACAAAATACGCCGGCAACCCGCCGCACACACATATATGTACGCGTGCGCGCTCACACACGTTTGAATTCTCAAGCATTCTGTCAATACACCGACGTGCCCGTCGCACACGCACCCACGGAAATTGTAAATATTGGCCTGGCCCGAAAAAGTCCTTCCCAGTTTTTCTCAGAAAAATTTCCGAGCCAACACTATCCAACCCATGTTCAACGAAATTTTGCGAGATTTATTACCCGGAGTATTTATTTATGTCACGCAGAGAAATAAAAAACGAGTTTTTGGTCAACGCGTAGCGTAGGTGTGTGTGGTACGTGTGCACGACGAGCCGGGCACGGCTCTGTGTGCTGGAAAGCTGCGTATACTCTTATCTCCGTGTGACCATAAATTGCGAACGCGATACGTGTGCATATTACTTGTGCACAGAGGCGTATACATATATACATGTGCACACTCGATGGATACGGTTATGTCTCTCTCTCTCTCTCTCTCTCTCTCTCTCTCTCTCTCTCTCTCTCGTGTACATTGTGCGCAGAGAAATTCGGTGATACGTCGCGCTCTATGCGTGTCTGGTTGCACAGGAGAAATGTACGTTTCAGCGAGTGGGTGTAACGCGCGATTCCAGAATACGATGCACGTACCGTACACAGAAGAGTGCAGCGGCTGTGCGTTTCAAAACAGACCTTCGAACCGAACCACGGACTTCTGCGGGGCACATGCGAGACACGACAGCATTCTTTATTTTCGATTTATTGTTTTTTCTGCGCCACCGTGTTCGTCACTACTTCGCTAATTTTATTCTTTTACCTTCGGCGATTGTTACGACGACGATTGTAGACCTTCCAATCCGGCTGGTACGCGTAAAATCAAATTAAACCTGTAATTATCTTTACATAATGCTCAGCAAGACTGTCACGTTGTTCTCGAACGAGACGTTGTAGGTTATGTGGTACGCGAAATACTTGTATGTATGTGTTTCGGAAATATTACGTGTCACTGGGAGGTTCACAGAACTATTTTTAAACGAGAATATAATGGAAAGAGTTTGAAGACACGTCGGGAGAAATATCACGGTCCGCGTACCGACGGTTTCGAGAAACGAGAGGTCAACGGCGTAACGACGCCACCCGCCATTTTAAGGACGAACCTTTAAGGCTATAACGCACGGTAGACGACCNCACTATCCAACCCATGTTCAACGAAATTTTGCGAGATTTATTACCCGGAGTATTTATTTATGTCACGCAGAGAAATAAAAAACGAGTTTTTGGTCAACGCGTAGCGTAGGTGTGTGTGGTACGTGTGCACGACGAGCCGGGCACGGCTCTGTGTGCTGGAAAGCTGCGTATACTCTTATCTCCGTGTGACCATAAATTGCGAACGCGATACGTGTGCATATTACTTGTGCACAGAGGCGTATACATATATACATGTGCACACTCGATGGATACGGTTATGTCTCTCTCTCTCTCTCTCTCTCTCTCTCTCTCTCTCTCTCTCTCTCGTGTACATTGTGCGCAGAGAAATTCGGTGATACGTCGCGCTCTATGCGTGTCTGGTTGCACAGGAGAAATGTACGTTTCAGCGAGTGGGTGTAACGCGCGATTCCAGAATACGATGCACGTACCGTACACAGAAGAGTGCAGCGGCTGTGCGTTTCAAAACAGACCTTCGAACCGAACCACGGACTTCTGCGGGGCACATGCGAGACACGACAGCATTCTTTATTTTCGATTTATTGTTTTTTCTGCGCCACCGTGTTCGTCACTACTTCGCTAATTTTATTCTTTTACCTTCGGCGATTGTTACGACGACGATTGTAGACCTTCCAATCCGGCTGGTACGCGTAAAATCAAATTAAACCTGTAATTATCTTTACATAATGCTCAGCAAGACTGTCACGTTGTTCTCGAACGAGACGTTGTAGGTTATGTGGTACGCGAAATACTTGTATGTATGTGTTTCGGAAATATTACGTGTCACTGGGAGGTTCACAGAACTATTTTTAAACGAGAATATAATGGAAAGAGTTTGAAGACACGTCGGGAGAAATATCACGGTCCGCGTACCGACGGTTTCGAGAAACGAGAGGTCAACGGCGTAACGACGCCACCCGCCATTTTAAGGACGAACCTTTAAGGCTATAACGCACGGTAGACGACCGTAAGACCGAAGCCAGTGTACAAACCAAGTATCGCCAGCTGGCACGTAAAATGTAACGCCGTTGGTGATGCGAATATTCACCGACGTGCGTGCGTTTCGATAAGAAAAATTAACAGTACAATGAAAACGGAAGTCCTTGCTGAAAACATCGCAAGGTCATGCCCAACCTCACTGGAAATTAAAGATTTCTTTGTGTAGTTTGATTAATGCAGTCAACCTAGCGACTATTAACATGAATTAGAAATACTAATTTTATATAAAATACACTATTTACAGTATATTTCGTATTCAGTAGATCAGAAACACTAACGTACTAGTATAGAATAATCGAATGCTGCAAAAAATGTAGTACAGAAAGATATTTTAAGGAATAAAGAAATGTACAAGCGGGAATGTACTCTAGAAAATATTTAGCAACAGTTGCACTGCACTGTTCAGTAGAGAAGTCGTAGAAAATATAATTGGAAGTACATTTTTATAATCTTATATGTAATTCGTGGATAAAAGAAACGGTAATGCCTGAAAATACGATGTATCTTGAATTATAACAAGAAGAAGACTCAATAGTCTGTTGTCTCGAACGGTCAAATAAGTATCCGCAAGTTGAGCGTCACTTTGCTAACGTCACCGTTAGTTTTCACTTCTGTTTTCCTACTTCGATACTTGCTCTTTAACAATTCTACATGCATTTTAGAGCCGCTCCTTTGTATACAATATGTCTACTTCATTCATGCAGGATACTTGCATATTATTAAACGAGCGAATACGTCTAACATAAATCACAGAATCACTGTTTCCACGATACCGTGGATAAAATGATTTAACGTCACAGGTTTTACTTGAAATGTTTTATAATAAAATTATGAACGCTGTAGGAAGTACGATTTTGTGCCTACGCCACGATAATATCTACAAAATAAGTTTAACCGGTAAGAAAATGACCTCGTAGTCACGTAAGTGTTCGTTAAGTATTCCAAAAATACAGGAAACGTATAATGCGTCTCGATAAGAAACCATTATATAACTTGAGACAACGAAATTCAATTTTTAAACGACCAAAATCAAGAAAAGTCAAATATCGAGCTCCAAGATATAAATATTAAACTAGAAAACTAGTTTATTTCGCCTATCCTAATTTCCCCAAAGTATTTTTTCCCCATAATCGTTCCCAGACACCCAGCAACAATTGTAACCTCGTTAAAACGGCGATGGGCACGCCGCAGGCTAAAACATTAATAAAATGAACATCGTTCACCGTCAGAATCATAGCTTTCTTCCGCAAAACGTGCCTAAGGCGTGCCCTGGCGCGCGGATCCCTGGTTTGAGCGCCACTGTCGAACAATAACTTCGTGCCGCTGCGAGCTCTCAAAATGGCTGTCCTCAGCTATTATTACTTCGGGGAAAAAACAAATGACGGCGCGCTCACGCTACGAGGAGAGGAGAGACAGAGCCAAGGCTCTCCGTATATCGCACGTTTGTACACGCGCTGGCCCGCGGGCGCGTGTAGATGCGTGTCTCTCCTCGTGCGTGTGTACGAAGCGTGGGTGTGTGGACACACGCGTTCAGAATCCTCCGTCTACGTACGGAGTCGAAAACATCGGGTAGACACCTTACGTGCTCTTGAATTCCGGTTTCAACGAAACTGATAATGCGCCCTTCCCCCACCTTCTATGCTAGACATAAACAAACAGCTTGTAAATAACGAACAAACGGCTGCATCTCTCTCTTCCTCGTCGCGTTCATTTACAGGTCATGGAACATCGTAGTAACACGGGGCACTTTACATTCTGAATTGGCTGGCAGACGGAGGAGTAAAGCCCTGGCAGACACAGCCACAGCCCACGACCGTGCAGTCGTAAAATTCTAGGGGACAATATTGTTGACCGTGCGCCCGGACTACAGCAACAATAGCGAAGCTATATCCCAGCTTCCTTAAACGCATAAAAAGATAATTGAAGTAGTCCACCTGCAATGTTTTCGTTTGGTTCATGGGCCTAAGGGTAAATTGGAAACATCGGCGAATTGAAAAGGCCATAAATCTTGGGAGTCTCAAGGTCCGTGTCCGTGTATATTAAACGCGACCTAGGTATACGATACATTGTAAACGAAAACACACGGGAGACAGGACCGTGTACATACGCTTCGTACACGATTGTTGCCAAATGGCATGCCTCGAATTTTACTATGTTTCTTGTATAATTAGCATGCGTGCAGTTACGTGTGGTCACGTAAGTGTGCATGTTAGTTGTACCCGTGGTGGCACACACATGCACAGTTACGTAAGGTGCCTTTCGTTGAAAGGCATGCGATGAAAAGAAAAAAAATAGAAGAACAGAAAAGGTATGAAAACATAGGTAAGGGGGATACGTACCGTTTGAAATGTTCTCGTATGCGATCCTCTCGGATGTTTTCCGGCAGATTTCCAACCCACAGGTGACGTGTCTCTCTAACCATTTTGCTCCGAACTCTTCATTTGGGATCGGATGTTGTGGTATCGTTTGGCGGCACTGTACAACGACACACAACTTCGCCCGACGCTAATCACGTCACTCTCACCACACCACCGATATTCAATACCGCCAGCGGGTCGGCCGAAGAAGCCTCTCCTGCTTCTTCCCTATATGTATACTTTTTTTTTTTTTAATATTTAGATATAGATATACGTATATATATATGTATGCGTGTATGTATATATATATATACAATATTTATATCAATTTTTGTTTTGTTTCACGCGAGCAGAAATCAAATGGATCCGTGGCGTATTGGTAATCCGAATCGACATAGAATTGATCTCCTATCCGATTCACGAGGAACTCGTGGCAGGGCTCGCGACTCACACGCGACGAAAACGAAGGAACCGTTACGTGTATACCACGACGAACGAAGGAGCTTCCTCCCACTTCGGACACTCTCAATTTAATCACTGGCAACAAACAGATTAACATTAGTCACTAGCCGGAAGGTAGTGACCCCAGGCAGGACGAGTGCTGTCGTCAGGGCAGCGCTGTGGAACGATCGGCCGATAGAAGAGGGTGGCAACGGGGCTCTCGCGATTAAATTTTTGCGTCGCGACGCACGTCGACGACAACAACAACCACGACGACGACGACGACGGAGACGAAGAGAAGAAGGAGGAGGAGAAGCCTTGATAGTGGACACCACTGATGACAACGGCTATAAAGATCAGGACCGTCGCCGTACACCACATCGTACACCACTGAATCGCGTATGAAGAAAGGCGGCTAATCACACGTCACACCAAGCACACCGAGCACAACGCGGTCGGGCGGCCGATACATCCCAACGCATATTTGTTGAGCATAATCACACTCGCGTCGATTATATACGGGAATATTTCGTACAGCCTCGTTCACGCCGAACACCCGAGAACAAGGAGGCCACGGTAACCGCCTGAACTATTCCCGGAAAACCCCACTAATAAACAATCGATCTACCGGACGATAGAACCAACCGTCGGCGTTTTCTTCCTTGGTTAAATTTAAAACGCGCGAACCTCTCAGAACCGCGGGCACGACACTACTTTATATTCCTTCCTCTTTTTTTTATTTCTTTTAATTTCCTTATATTTACGATGTGTACTCACTCAGCGGAACTTCTTCGTTTCTTTTTTTTTTTTTTTAAATTTCTTTTATAATTCACATGTCACTCGATTAATTCACCTCGCCTTGTACGTTACATCTCGTTTCGGAACGGTATCGTGAACGACGTCGAATACAATACATGTTTCGGTGAAAGCGAGTCGCCGCGGATTCTCGGATACCCTTTTACCAACCGATCGAGTAACTACTCGGTACTTGTCACGTAACGTGCATTAATCGAACGAATTAAAACGGGTATATATCGGTGTGTGATCGGCGACTCGATTCGCTACAATGCACGCTTGTATATGTACGCCTTAAACGCACTAGCTTCGTTCACTTGGGCCATGTAACGCGGATGGAGCCGACTTCGCTCCTCCTCACTGCACTACACTACTCGGAGTGACGTCACCGTGGCGGGAGCGTAGAAGGCTCGCCGGCTAGCATCGCTGTTTGCCTCGGTGGTGGGGAACACCGCGTAGGGGAACAGAACGAGTCTACCTCGGGTTTGGTGGAGAAGCGGCGGCGGCGGCTCGCAATCGCGATCGTCGCCCGCCAGCCGGTGAAGTACACCGAATGGTGGGGAGGAGTTTTCGTGCGTCCCCGGAGGGGAGAGAGTTGGAGGGACTCGTTCGAATCGAAGCAAGGACAGGTAGGGAGGACTCGGGACTCCGGGAGAGAAGGGATAACGGGTCGAACGAGCTAACCCGAACTCCCGAGCCGCGCTCGTCCCTGTCGAGCCGGTCCTCTCTCTCTCCGTCTCGACGCTTCTCCTCTCGTCCGTGTTCTCTCCTGTCTCTCCGTCTCTCTCGCCTGCCTCTCGCCCCTCTCTCTCTCTATTCCCCTGTCTACCTCTATTCCCCTCCCTTTTCTCCTCTGCCCCTCTTAACGAATCGCCCAGCACCCCGTCTACCTCGGTCCTTCACTAACCGACGATCGTTGCGCTCTTTCGCTTCTTTGTCCTCTTCCTCCTGCCTCGCGCCGTCACCGGCGTCGCCACTCCATCCGCCATCTTTCTTCCGCGCGTCATTCTTTCTCCGTCCATCTTGCTCGCTCCAGGGCCGGTTTAGGAGCAGCCAATTACCCGGGGCATCGGTACTTTCTACCGGGAATAAAGACGGAAAATCGGATTATTACGAAAATAAAAGTACTTAACTTTGTGACGTGCTCTCTAATCAAGGAAGTAACGATCAAACAAACGCGTGCACGGCCGACCTCGGTATATTCCGTCCGCGTTTAGCTACGCGCCGATGAAAAATTTAACGGGCCACGCACGCCTTGTGTGCGGACAGACTATCGTCGATCGAAATATTACGGGATGAGATGTCTGGTTGTACGTCTAACATCGCTCCGTTTAAAATGAAAACACCATGTGAATGTACGGTTTATGGTAGCAGGTTAGTCTCGTGTTTTAGATCGAAGCTATTGTAAATATTCGTACAAAAAATGTGTTTTCATGCTTAGTTATAGTTTTACGAAGAAAAGTATGAACAGTAACTCTTATAAAAGTTTGTGGAGTGCACGTGATTGATAGAAGTAACTGGTTAACTACTCTCAAAGAAATTTTGAGATATTCTGAATGGCGGAGCTGTTGCGGTAATTGAATCAAGATACAGTTGTGTCCACTTTATTGGCGCACGTGTACTGTCCAAACAATCTGGTTACGGTTTGCATTGACGAAAGTATGCGAGTAATAACACGTTGAAGATTATAGGGCACCGCGGCACCTACCGCCGGACCTGGTCGTACTCCATCTTGTTTCCGCTAAAATCGCGTCAAAGTCGTGGATTCATGGCGTCGATGTAGTGGCTACGACTTACTGAGACCCACTGTTCGTTTATCCTTTCGTGGCGTACGTTCTTTTCATGGTTCACGACAGTCCGCTCATACGAAATCAACTCTATCGACGACAATGCCGAATGTCTGTTTTGTCGGTTAGAGGCACGCCATCGAGGCTAGAGAAAGCGATTTCTGTCGCACACGAATCGCTACGTCCAAAAACGGAGACAATTTCATGACCGTCTTGTACGAGATACGCCTATTGCGTGTTCTGTGCTAGTGTTTCTGTATTTGTAGAAATTCATTTGTGTAAAATGTATTTTATGCAAATATAATCCTTTTTATAATTCTCTCATGTATGCCTCCCACGCCATGTGTTACTAGTCTTAAATAGAAGTATTAATAAACACATTGTCTTTGTAGATAATCTATAAACTTTTAAGAATCAGACTACCCAACATTGCGATTACATATCTAGATATGAATCGTCTACTTTCTAGCAACGAATAGTAACACTTTCAGTATACATATTGTACGTATAAATAATAATTAACTTCATTCAAAATTTTAATTTATCCAACATCATGACATATATGTCTGACCTCTAAATGGAAGTACACCTATTAAAGTAGAAAATATATGAACTTAGAGCTATACATTTGGAAACATCTCTTCTGTCCACGTTGTGGCAACGAAACAGTCGGACGAGTTTCGTTGAATTTGGAGTGTAGAAGCTATTTTATTATCACGAAGACGATTTATTTGTCACGTGAGATCAATCATTCCTGTTTTTTAAGAAACTTTATAGGACTTGCTATATAATCGAAAATATCGTTGTTATGCGGAGTGTCTGAAAGTACCGTTACTTTGTGTAGGTGTTGTCGAAGATAGCCTCTAATTCAGTGGTGTCCACGAGAGACAACCGGTACTTCTACCGTCGTGTCCAAGGCGCGATGGTAGTGATCTGCAGCGAATCCAACGGGCTCTTTACCGCGCGTTATTTAAACTTTCAAACCATAGTATTTTCGAGTAATATGATTTTCTTCTTTCCTAAAAATTTCCATATTGCTTCTAATAGTCTAAATCTACTAATACCTTCTTTCTTTTTTTGCAATATCGGAAACATCCGTGAACATCCTGTTCTAATTTCTAATTGAAGAGTATAAGTCGCGTTATTGAACACCGAGCGCCCTCTGTAGGCTAGAAATCCAAACTATTTTTCAGTTACCGACAGTAAATGGAAATAGTGTTTTTCTATCGAACAAACAATGTTGTTTGTTCTAAATATCTAAAATTTCTCTATAAGTCAATTGCCACGCAGAAACGCGTTCTATAACCTTTTTATATTTTAATACAATAATAATCTACCAGCAATCACCTTGTAAGCATCGAGCATTGTAAGCATTGTTTTAATTTTGTATATTTTTACGCGCTGAAGATGATTCCCTCTGGAACGATGGAGAGATTCTCCGAGAATGTAGAAGAATCAGAGGGACCATCTGTTTTATCATCTGATCCGGAGGAGCGGAAGCTGGCCCGGAAACTTCGAATTCAAAAGCGCATAGACGAACAAACCAAGTAGGCATAATTATTAATCTATTTATTCAATTAAATTAAGTTCTTAATTAAAAATACATGTTCAGGTCCTTGAAAGTAGAAGAAGCTGCGAGCGTGGAAACAACTCCTATCGAGCAGCAAATACTTGATAGTTTGGACAAGTTAGAAAAATTACAAGCTGAAGGAGAGGAAGTCGTACGTGCAATATAAACTTTCTAATAAATTCTTACAAGCAGATGTTATAAACCGTGTTATTTTTACAATAAATGTTACTTATAAAATAGTAATTATATCGTATATTCGTAGGTGACTGCAGTGAGTGTGGCCAACGATGCGAGGGAATTGGAGAGACGAAAAGAAGTGCAGGAGACGAGAAATCGATTGTTGGAGGTATTCGAGGAAGAGAACAAAAAATATGTGGAGAAATTTCATGAGATTAGTGCGAAGTGGCCTGAGATATTCGACTGCAAAGACCCGTTGGATATTTATGACGAATTGGAGGCTCAAAAGGACAGGTGCAACGAGATCCTGGAGAAGAAGGATGCCCTAATCGCGGAGCTAAAGAAGGAACTGGAGAACGCTGATGAAAAATACGCGGACCAAGCGAAGCAGCAGAACGATGACATCGATTTGCTTATCGAGAGAATGGAAACTCAAGTTAGTTCTCGGGAAACTACAATCTTGTACACTTGTAAAACTAACTTATTAATTATTCTTTAATTGTTTCCTAGGTACGTGACATGACGAAAGCTTATCGCAACGAACTAACGCTTATCGAACACGTTATCGAATCGGATCGTACAATGCTATTAGCAACTTCCATGGAAAAATGGGAAGCATTGTTTAAAAAGCACCAAGAGGAAACCGTAGAAGCTAAGGAGGAGAAGAAGGTTATAATGCAAGAATACGAAGAGAACATGAAGAAGGCGATAATACAGCACCAAGAAGAATTTAGGCAACTGAAGATCCGTTTTAAATTGGAGATACAGAGCCTCCAGCAGCAGGTGCAGAACATGAAAGCTTTATGCTTGATGAACGTGGAAAAATTGGACTATAATTATGCTGTGTTGAAACGCCGGGAAGAAGAGAACACCATCGTGAAGAATCAGCAGAAGAGAAAGATAAATAAGTTGGTACCAGTAATGACAATTATATTTATATTAGATTATGATCTCAATTGAATTTTAGACTGCAAGATGTGCTCAATCATTTGAAAAAAACGTACGCGGAATTAGAAGAGTCCACGAGATTGGAGATCCAAAAGCTGACGACTGAAATTGCAAAGTCGCAAAAGGCTGTAGAGGATTTGGAGGAAAAGTCTAATAATATTGCTACTATCAATGATAAAAAGTATATGCAAATTTGGGATTTAAACATTCGAACTGCAGATGAATTAGTGGATAAGGTATATAATAAATATTCTTGATTAAAAATAGAGATATGTAATTTTATTTAAATCATCTCAACAATTCAGATTTTAGCAGCGGATAAAATTATTCACGAACAATTGTTAGGAATTGAGTGGGAACCACCGAAAATGCAATTATTGAGAAAGGAGGAGCTAAGATCTTACTGCGGCGCGATGTGTGCTATAAAGAAAGGTGATATTGGAGCAGAAATCATATCTTTAAAGAGATTATTGCAATCAACAGATACTTTCGTATGCTTCAAGAAAAGGAGGACGCAAAGAAGAGGAAAATGATTTCCAAAACATACGATCCAGCGAGAACGTTGGCAGAGATGAATTTAGAAAGATGTCTATTGAATCACATTGCCAGATTAATTACCGATCACTGTGAATACTATGTTGAAGATACTTTAAAAGAATTATTATCAGAGTACTCTGAAGCAGACAAGCTGCTGATTCGACTGGATAAAGTATTCGAGGTAACTTAGAAAGACAGAATTTCCCACAATAGAACTGTTGAATTGTAACTGATAATTTTCAGGCTTTAAAAATTACATCCGAAGAGGAACTTCAATTTTTGCTAAACTTCTTTCTACCATACGCCAATTGTCCCATTTGCACAGAAAAACCTATAAGCACATCAAGTGTTTGTGGAGAATCCAGTATAACTTCTTCATCTACATCTTTATCTAGAATTTCTTCGCGTAAAAGTTCTGCATCTGAAGCCTCTTTATCTAGGTAAGTATATGTAGAAAAATAATGACCTACCGATTTTAATTATATTTTCTATACCAGGAGCACTTTACCCCCTATCAGAGACGAAGAACGTCCACCAGAAACTATCTTAATTGCAGCTATGCATGATGCATTGCGCGACATCAAATTTCCGGCTACTGAAGAAGAAGAAGAAGGAGAAGAAGAAGAAGAAGAAGAAGAAGAAGAAGAAGAAGAAGAAGAAGAAGAGGAAATGGGTAAGAAGGAAACAACGGAAACACCCTCTATAGAAACGCTATCCGAAGAACAACCAGTTCCATCCTCTTGTATTGCTAAAGGAATTGTTGAAATCACTGATGGTATGAAGCATTTTACGTTATTATTAATTATATTTTTAGTATTTAAAAAGAACCAGTAATATATATGCTCATCACACCTTTTAATCTTCATAAGAAACCACTGGGGGACCAAAACGACAACTCGTATGCGACAATGGTCACTTATTGACAATTGAAACAGAATTCGTAGCGAATGCTTTAAAAGAGTTTATAGAAAGATACGATTTTGTAAAGAAGCAGAAGAGCACAGTGTCCATCGACAAGAGAGAAATAAAAGTGAAAGCCACGGTGTCGAGAAACATCACAGATGAAGATATTACTGAATTCTGGGAAAGATATAAAACTATTTTTTCACCAGAAAGAGAAAGGCTTTGGGATAATTTGCTAAGTGGTTTGAAGAAGTACCACCTAGTTCTAAAACAAAGGCACGAGTTAAATAATGAAATAAAATTTCTACAGAAACAAAATACTGAACTCACTAGATTATTAAGAAGTTATTCAACAGAGGTAAGTTTTGATAAAAAGTAATATTTAAATATTTTATTTTACTGTGTATTTTTTAGACTGATCCTGTGCAACTATCAGAAAGAGATGTAAAAAATATTCAATACATCTTA